GACATGACATCTCCACTGCCTCCAGCCTTCTCCTCGCTGCAACATTCATCACCCATGCTTCACACCCATATGAGAGCGTTGGTAAAACTATACTCTCATACATTCCCCTCTTTGCCTCCAAGGACAAAGTTCTTTGTCTCCACAGACTCCTAAGTGCACCACTCACCCTTTTCCCCTCATCAATTCTATGATTCACCTCATCATTCATAGACCCATCCGCTGACACGTCCACTCCCAAATATCTGAATACATTCACCTCCTCCATACTCTCTCCCTCCTATCTGATATCCAATCTTTCATCACCTAATCTTTTTATCCTCATAACCTTACTCTTTCCTGTATTCACTTTTAATTTTCTTTTGCACAACCTACCAAATTCATCCACCAATCTCCGCAACTTCTCTTCAGAATCTTCCAAGAGCACAGTGTCATCAGCAAAGAGCAACTGTGACAACTCCCACTTTATGTGTGATTCTTTTTCTTTTAACTCCATGCCTCTTGCAAAGACCCTCGCATTTACTTCTCTTACAACCCCATCTATAAATATATTAAACAACCACGGTGACATCACACATCCTTGTCTAAGGCCTACTTTTACTGGGAAATAATTTCCCTCTTTCCTATGTACTCTAACTTGAGCCTCACTATCCTCGTAAAAACTCTTCACTGCTTTCAGTAACCTACCTCCTACACCATACACCTGCAACATCTGCCACATTGCCCCCCTATCCACCCTGTCATACGCCTTTTCCAAATCCATAAATGCCACAAAGACCTCTTTAGCCTTATCTAAATACTGTTCACTTATATGTTTCACTGTAAACACCTGGTCCACACACCCCCTACCTTTCCTAAAGCCTCCTTGTTCATCTGCTATCCTATTCTCCGTCTTACTCTTAATATCTTTCAATAATAACTACATACACTTTACCAAGGGTATACTCAACAGACGTATCCCTATTAATTTTTGCACTCTCTTTTGTCCCTTTGCCTTTATACAAAGGAACTATGATGGCTCACTGCCAATCCTCGGTTCCTTACCCTCTTCCAACGTTTTTAAATAATTGGCACCAACACTCCAAAAACTATATCCCCACCTGCTTTTAACATGTCTATCTTTATCCATCAATCACGCTGCGTTCCCCCTTTCATGTTACTACTGCCTCACGGAACTTCCCCCCCCCCACCACACTCACAACTGGGTCTTCCTCACTCCTACAAGTTGTTATTCCTTCCATCGCCCTATACCGAAATTCACAGCTTCCCTATCTTCATCAACATTTAACAATTCCTCAAAAGTTTCCCTCCTTCTTTCCCAATACTCTAACTCTCCATTTAATAACTCTCCTCTCCTTTTTTAACTGGACAAAAATCCATTTGTTCTCTAGGTTTCCTTAACTTGTTAATCTCACTCCAAAAACTTTTTTCTTTCTTATTTTCAACAAAATTTGTTGATAAACATATCACACTCTCTCATTGCTCTCTTTTGACATTGCTTCACCTCTCTCTTACCTCACTCTTTTTCTCCACATACTTTCCCTCCTTGCACACTTCTACTTCATAAAAAATTCTCGGATGCTAACTTTGCTCCCTTACTGCTCTCTTTACACATCATTCCACGAATTGCTCCTCTTCCCTCCGCACCCACTTTCCGGTAAACACAACTTCTGCTGAACACTCCAACACTACATTTTTAACTACCCCATACCTCTTCGGAACCATTTCCTATGCTCTCATTAGCCCATCTATCCTCCAATAGCTGTTATTATTTACCCTAACTGCCTCCTCTTTTAGTTTATAAACCTTCCCTCCCTTTTCCTTGATGCTTCTATTCTCCTTGTATCCCAACTACCTAATCTCTCAGTGTAGCTACATCTAGAAAGGAATTGGATTATATCTGTGGCCCCTCTATAAAAACATGTACATCCTGAAGTCTACTAACGTTTTTTATTCTACCAGTACATAATCCAACCAAAACTACTGTCATTTCGCCTACATCATATCTGGTATACTTATTTATCCTCTTTCTTAAAATATGTATTACCCAATAACTAAACCCCTTTCTTTTCAAAGTTCTAATCAAAGGGCTCCATTATCATTTACACCTGGCACCCCAAACTTACCTTCCACACCCTCTCTAAAAGTTTCTCCTACTTTAGCATTCAGGTCCCCTACCAACAATTACTCTCTCACTTGGTTCAAAGGCTACCTATTACATTCACTTTACATCTCCAAAAAAATATCTCTTCTCCCCTCTACATTCCTCTCTTCTCCAGGTGCATTACACGCTTATTATGAACCCCTTTTCGCATCCAACCTTTCCTTTATTCCACATAATGCTTGAATTTACACATTCATTTTCTCTTTTCTCCTTCCATAACTGATCCTGCACATTATGCTACCCCTTCTTTGTTAACTCTCTCAGTATCCAGATTTATCCCATTTTTTCCTCCCACCGAAACTCCCTAACCCTTCAGCTTTGTTTCGCTTAGGGCCAGGACATCCAACTTCTTTTCATTCATAACATCAGCAATCATAGTTGTCATCCACACTTCATCCACGCACATTCAAGCATCCCGTTTTATAAGTTTTTTTTCTTCTCTTTTTTAGTAAATGTCGAAGGAGAAGGGGTTACTAGCATTGCTCCCGGCATTTTTAGTCGCCTCATACGACAGCATGGCTTACGGAGGAAAAGGTTATTTTCATTCCCCATGGACAATGAAGATATAAAGAAGAACAAGAGCTAATTTAGAAAAAGGAGAAAAACTAGGATGTATGTATATATATATATATGTATATGCATGTGCGTTCTGTGAAGTGTGACTAAAGTGTAAGTAGAGTAGCAAGATATCCTGTTATCTAGCGTGTTTATAGACAGAAAAAGAAAAAGAAACCAAGCCAATCTACCATCATGCAAAACAGTTGCAGGTTTCTGTTTACACAGTCATCTGGCAGGACGGTAGTACTTCCCTGGGTGGTTTGTCTGTCTACAACCTATATTATATATATTTATATATATTATATATATATAATATATTTATATAATTATATATATATATATATTAATATGCAATAAGATCACAGTAAACAGTTCTTGATAATGTGAGTAGTAACGAAAGCGTTGGAATCTCTCTATTCTTTCAGAGTGTAGTTTTTGCATGCATATATTTATTATATTATATAATTTTATATATATTATATATAGATATTTTTATATATATTATAAGTGTGTGTGTGTTTAAATATAAACAGACAGGATTCGAAGCCGAAGTATAACTCTAACATGTGTTAATCCTCCAGTGGACCACGAAGGTTACAACAAGAGTCTCATATCACTAGTAATGTTAGCAGGCGTCCCTAACTGTGATGTCAACTTCTAGATTGTATCTAAAGAATCTCTGTGACCAAATATTCCTAGTTTCCGTGTAACCCATTATTGTAAACAATTGTATATTTCACTGATGAGAGAATCTTTATATGGCATATTTATGAGATTTATTGTGTTCTTCTTACACTCCCTTTTATACTACTTTGTTATAAACGAAAGATCTTCGCTTGCAGCAAACCCATTGGAATCTTTCTTACATACATCGAGCAAACTAACCAACTATATTTACACTCTTCTCACCTGATTTCTGTCTTAATCCCTTCCATTCCTACATTCGGCTCAAACATTGTAATCATCCTCAGTTAGTCGTTTCTCTGAGCTTGAAATTTATTCTCCTTTCACCATCTACATTCCTCTACTTCCCAGACTGCTCTCTCTATTTTTTCATCACCAGGCTCTGGTGGCCTGGTGGTTAACGCTCTCGCTTCACACGGTGAGGGCCTGGGTTCGATTCCCAGCCAGAGTAGAAACATTGGACGTGTTTCTTTCCACCTGTTGTCTATGTTCCCCATCAGTAAAATGGGTACCTGGGTGTTAGTCGACTGGTGTGGGTCGCATCCTGGGACACTGACCTAAGGAGGCCTGGTCACAGACCGGGCCGCGGGGGCGTTGACCCCCGGAACTATCTCCAGATAAACCATTAATACACTGCATCGTACAACATGCGAATAAATTAGTTATGAAATTCGTCGGCAGTATTAACATCTTTAAATTTACCTCAATTTATTTACACTGGCGAGAAAGTCACTTCCTCAAACGTGTCGTGAATGAAATTATCGACTGTTGGCTTTGTTGTTCTAGCGGATTGTGATAAAGTTTACTGATAACCTTCTGATAGCGAGCAAGTCACTTATCGTCCAGGATACCTTGTTTTGCCACACCCGTAAGGACGCTCGTCATGTTGGCAGCGTCAGTCAGATGTTTGTACTTCCCAGAAAGTTAAAAGATATATACTATCGTACATCTGGATTCAGTCCCGCCCACAAGCAATTATACTGATCAAAACTTTTTGTCGTCATACTCAGTAATGATAAAAAATAATCAGGATACTGTAGACAAAACCAACTCATTAGATAAGTACTCTCAAATTTAAACTTGACAACACACAAAATGTGTAAATACGTGGGTTCAAAACGGCAGAACCCACAGCGTATTTATACATGTATTAGCATTAAACGAAGACTGTAAATATATATTGTTTTCTGCACACACGTAATCTTCCCCAAATGTAGAGTTAAATGACTCATAGTGGTTTAGCGCTTATCGTAATAATGAGAATATCATCTTGATAACTTTTCTTAACTACGTGACTGATAGGTAAAAATAACTAATTAATGAATATGTGTCTATGTACTCACCTATTTGTTGTTGCAGGGGTCGAGTCATAGCTCCTGGCCCCGCCTTTTCACTGATTGCTACTAGGTCCTCTCCTTGCTCTATGAGCTTTATCAAACCACGTCTTATAACTATGTGTGTGCGCGCGTGCGTGTGTGTGTACACCAGCACCTGTGTGTCAGTTTTTCTTTGCACACTTGTGTATGTCCCAGTAACTGGTGTGGTTCAGGCGTTTACATCCCCATGGAGGTCCTGGTATGACTGTTACAACACTTACCAAAGACGTACTCGTCCCTCAGCTCTGCATTAAACACGCCATCACATACGCTTGCACGTCGGAATGTACACTCCGGAAAGACTAGCAATTCACACGCTGCTCTAAGAGGGCGCGTCACTAAGAGAGAGGACAGCATGCACTCTCACGCATGTGTCAACGTCCAGGCGCCCAGAGAGAGACTGAGGTCCCCCACCGAGTTGTCACTATGCGGTTAGAGTCACCGAGGTTAAGCTAAGAGACTCGCTGCTATCAGTAGTAGTACGTGTTTGTGATGTGTTTTCCTGGTCCCTTTTATTTCTCATTCATACCTTGTTCCTGCATATCTATATAAAGCAACAGTTATTGTGTCCCCCACTTCGTCAGCTACGTAGGTACGAGCATCGGCCCCTCCATGAACTGGTCATTTTCGGGTGCTGAAGCGTGAGTGTACTACTTACCAGGTGTGAGTGCTTTGTTTAGTGATTAGTGTAGAGTAAGCGGTTTGTTCAGTAATTGGTGCTGAGGTGTGAGCACAGTGTGCAGTAATTAGTGCAGAAGTGTAAGTATTATTCAGTGACCAGTGCTGAGGTGGCGAGTGAGCCATTCACCTGTAATATGTGTAAAGGATAATAATCAGTGGCGGATGCAGAGTTGTGTATTATTCATTGAACAATATTTAATTTCAAACAAATGGTATCCCGCTGCGTGTTTCTCTGATAATGGAAGCAATAATATGTGATACAGTCAGTGAGGTTACAGTACTTCTTGTGTCAAGACAACACACCTAATGCAATTTGTGCTGGTAAATTTGCTATGTTGCTGGTATATTTTGAGAGGTAGGATGTTTTGGTGCTAGCATTTTCGTATAATTACAAGAAATGTCAGAGTAAATTACTAGTATAGGGAATTTTGCTGGTAAATTACGGACGCGGCATGATATTGGTATATTAATATATTCAGCAAATTTAGTTATAATTTCAGGTATGGAATTGTGAAGCTTACTCAGCTCTGTAACAACTTCAGCCAGTATTAACAAAGCTTGGCTCCTCCTCAGGAAAATTAATGAATAGAAAAAGAACAAAAACTGACAAACATTTATTTAGAAGAAAATATAAAACTCTTCTATTTGAAATATTGATCCAAACATTAAAGAAAATGAAAAACGAAAAATTATAAAATATTGAAATTCACGTAATATTTATAAAACTTGGGTGTCTGGTGTTGGTGACAACTGCGTGTTGTTGAAATCGTAGCCGCTGCTGATGGGAGGGGGGGGGGTCGCAGGGGTTTGTTACAACCCACTGGCTAGTTATTCACAGTATTGCGTGATTATTTCGGCCCGATGGAACAGGGAAATAGAGGTCTTTTTTTCCCACTTCAATGATGAGGGGTTATTATCCTGCTATTGATACACAAAAGGTAAGTGGATCAGAATTTGGGACATCTCCGAACCGTTAGTCGTCTCTTCAATTTTACTCTTTGATTGGCAGGAGACCCATTCTATCATTTCAAGCTGGGAAGAAAGAGGTTATACCACTTGCTTAAGAACTCACTATCCATTGATAGTACAATACTAAAAGACGTGCGATTATTCAACACCCCCCCCCCCCCCCCCCCCCCCCCCCCCCCCCCCCCCCCCCCCCCCCCCCCCCCCCTCCCCCCCCCCCCCCCCCAGTCAAATTCAGTGCAAGTCTGAAAAGGATAAGTTTCTTATTGGTCAAAAGTGAAGCTTTCAACAATAAATCACTAGAATTACAAGGCAGGCATGTAGCTTACGTAGTGCTGGGAGCTGTGAGTCTAGTGATTACTGTTTGGTCGGAGCATCCAACAAAGTCACCTTTCGGGGGGGGGGAAGGAGAGGATAAGGGATAGCAGGAGCTAGCTGACCCCTCCTTAACTAGCAGCCAGCAATCAAACTATCACTTTTGGGGTGGGGGGGGGTGGAAAAAAAAAAAAAAAAAAAGTGGGAACAGCGGGAGCTAGACTTACCTTACCTTAACACGTAGCCGGCAAGCAAACTATCACTTTCGCAGAGGGGGAAAAAGGGGGAGGGGATAGTGGGAGCTGGACTTGCCCTACCTTAACTAGTAGCCGGCAATGAAACTATTGTTACTATATCGCTATCCTTTCTATTGAACTTTTCCCTCACACTCCCCCATACCAAGACTTATAGTCAAGGAGTATAAGAAGAATAGGCAAGGAAAAAGTTCTAGCATGTGGAAGTCGCGTAAGGCAACAAATCTACTGACTGTCACGACTTAACCAGTCAGAAATAATTGGATGAACCATTGGAACTTAAAAGCTTGGAGTGCCAATGTCCACGTCAAGAGGCGACTGTTGGTTCCCTTAAAAGTTTCTAGGTATATCAAAGGTTTGTGATCCATCTGTCAAATGAATTCTTTTCCCAGCAAATAAAATTTAAGCTTGGAGATACCCCACACAAGAGCTAAACATTCCTTTTCTATGGTGGCGTATCTCGTTTCTGCGGTAAGGAGTTTCCGGCTTAGGAAGCATACAGGGAAGGGAGTACCATCATGGTATTGTAGTAACACCGCACCTAAGCCAGTATTGGAGGCATCAGTTCTTAAACAAAATGTTTTATTAATATCTGGAATCTTAAGTATAGGGTCTTTCGAAAAGATACTTTTAATCTCATTAAACTTTTCCCGAAGCTACGTTGGAAAGTTCAAGTGGTTCTTCACAGACTTTTTAAGGAAGTCGGATAAGATGCCGTAATATTCAGTAAGGTTCGGGATCAAACCGTGCATAAAAATACAGACAGAAAGCTACGAATGAGCTTCTTGGTTTTGGGGAATAAAATCTTTTTTTGCTTTGATCTTTACTAGGGAGGGCTGCAGGAGGAGTTATTTAGAAATATCAGTCCAAGATATCTATCTTGTTATACCCAAGGAAGCATTTCTCGGCTTGCAGTGAGGGCCAGGTGAGCATAACTACGCACAAACTGATGTTAATGTTTGGATATGTTCGCCCCCGTGGATGTCATTACGTAAATGTTATCAAAATAAACTGAAACATTTGGCATATTACCCAAGACCTTTCTTCATCAGTCTTCATAGGTAGCACAGGGCAGTTACCAAACCGAAGGGCATAGTTTATATTTGCATCAGTCCTTGTTGTATGTAGGAAAAGCGGTGTACTGTTAGAGAAGGATCTAACTTACTTGATTTGCCTGCGCATATAATCTCTGAAAAGAAGGAAGTCATAAAATTTGTGTAGACGCTTCTAGTAAGGGCATAGGCCTCAGCATCACGGTTTTAGCTTAGGCTCTGAAGTCAATTGCAGTCTATGAATTATCCTCCTCCTAAACCTGACTTCTGGTGAACATTATGAAGATACTGGAAGGTTCGATGATCTTTAGTTTTAATTATTTGTCTACTTCTCGGTCAAAATGCATCCTAAGGTGAACTGGAACTGGGTATAATTCCGTTTGATCGGATTGGCCGTCAGTAGTCCAATCTTATGGATACCGTGGAGGTAACACCTGGATATCAGTAAAGACGTTTGAAAAGTTAATCACTCCTTGTAGTACATGTTATTGGTCATCCGAAGATTCATTAATAGTAATGTTGGTTGCGCCGAGTGGTCAAGAGTCCCCATGTCATGTAGTTCTTCATCATAGTCTAAGTATAGAGGTGTCAATTACGCACACCTTACATTCTTCAGTTGTTTTATTCAAGTTTCGTGTGGAAAAAACTAGTCAAAGTTATTAAGGCGTTAAACCGAATGCTCTTCGGTAATATTCTTAAGGATGTTGACATGATAAAGCTTAGGTTCCCCTTGACTCTATGAGTTAGTCAACTTTCCCAAATTTTTAATCATTTATATGGACTTTCCATGTATATAATTTATTTTGACTGATAGCAAAGTACCAGACTTCATCTCCTACTTTAAAACTTTCCTCTGACTTTTGGAATCAAATTAGGTTTGTACTGGTTCATTGACAAGCTTAAGTTTTTCGAAACTATGTCTGAGGTCTACATGTTTGGATCTAAGGTCAGGAGAAAACTGATAAACTGAACCTCAGCCTTTATGTCCTCATTTAGTTCATAAAGTCATGAAGGTTGGACAATGGGCCTCTGGCCTGTCTCTCCATAGAGAAAGTTCAAAAGGTGAAAAACCCCAAAGAGTCTCTGGGAACTTCCCTCATGGCAAAACAAAGGCAGGGTAGGTAACGTAGCCACTCCTTAGGTTTAAGGGGAGCAAAGTTTCCTTAAAATGGACTTGAGCATCAAATGCTGGCGCTCAAATCCTCCCTTACAGCTGGGATGATAGGGTGTGAGTGAAGAGAGACATTCACGCCCGAAGGTGGTATTGATGTTGCATTAAGTCAGATGTTGAATTGTGTCCCACGGTCAGACAATATTTCTCTTGGGATGCCCACTCTGGAGAAGATTGACAAAAGGGCTTCAGCCACTCTGTAGTAGTTATAGTCTTTAAGGGTTACAGCTTCAGGGAAACTCGAAGCCATATTCAACTATGTATTATATATCCATGTCCCCCAGATGAAAGTGGGATAAAGGACCAACGATGTCAATGGCTCTCTTTCAAAAGGGTACCTTAAAGATGGTATTTTGACATAGGTACAGCCTGGAACCTCGGGAGGATGAACAGTTGGCAAACTTTAACACGATCTACAATTGGTAAGTGACATCTGAGGCAATTTGTGGCCAAAAATAGGTTTCCCTAATTTTATTTAAGGTTTTACGATGCGAGAAATGTCCGGCCACTGGCAGGTCATGAGCCATTTTAAGAACAGTCTCTTTGCATTGACTTGGAACAACTAAGATGGAATAGTCTATCATCTGAATTTAATTTGAATACTGACTTGTACAAGATACCCTTTGTATATTCAAATTTATATGAAAAGTTTTTCCTTTGGATAACTTTATTTTGTTTAGCGGCATTATGGCAATTCTGAAGAGAAGGGCAATTACGTTGCAAATTGACAAAGGAGTCCTTCGATATATCTATTATTATTATAATCAAAAAGAAGCGCTAAGCCACAAGTCGATATATCTAAAGGCTTAAAGTCAGGGAAAATCAAAGGATGGACAGTAGAAGAAGCCTGGGCTTTGGTCTGTGCCCTTGTCAAGACATTTATGGTCTTCGGGGGTGATATCTCATTTCTTCTAACAAGTGAACCGGTGAATCCTACTACTCGCTTACGATGAGTAGCATCACTGGTTTTGATAATCCCACATGAATCTCACGAGAC